CAATCACAACATCTTACCTTTAGCGATTATGTTTTATGCTTTACAATCTTTAGCAATTTTCAGGACCAATGTCACAAGGATACATTTACACTATCAAACCTTTGGAAGGACGAGAATTTATGCAACGTAATTTCGTAACACTTCCTCAAAAAGCATCCAAATACAACAATCGAGCAATTAGCCTAAATGAACGGTTTTCAATCGTCGAAAGAGGTATTCATTGACACTTGTTATTTTTTTTACCCATCTTTCTACCCATTTCCTACCCCTCATAATCATCTAATGATATAATAGTGAATCTCTTGTTTCTAATTATACAAAGATATAGTGCGATTTGATGAACGCTTTAACTCTAAAATTCACTCATTATTAGTTAATTCCGATGTTTCATAGCCTTCTTGTGTTCAGAAACGAAATAAGCTATATTCTTTTTTTTTCAATGATTAGCACGTTGTAGCTTCGAAGCCAGGTGAAGTCCAGCTCTTACAGTTCTTTGTTAAGCAACGTTTGCATATACTGACAGTATTATAACGCTTCTAAAACGCTTCTAAATGGGACTGGTTTCAGGATATCTACTTGTGCCAGAGTTGGGAAGTACAAAACATGATTTCCGAAGAAATGTGTACCTGATACCGCGTGTGCCAACAATCTCAAATGAAAAAAAACAGCAGAAAATCTCAAGTAATGCAGTAAAAACTAAGACGGAGAAATGAACTTCATTGTATAAATCCTTCATTGTATGATGCCTACGTGTAAATCTTGGTTCACCGATTGCCGATTTTTATCATGCTTCCTGTAATCTGGATATTTTGATTACATGTTTTTACTATGGTCATATTGATTGCATGTTTTCGTCAACATAACTCTTTCAATTTGAATTTTTGCTGATAACATGTCTGCCATCATTTACAGTTTTGTTACTTAAGAGTTTAGGGATAAAAACATCAAACAGCAAAGCACTATCACAAGTAATACATAGGACATAACATATCTGCAACAATGGAAAGCTTAAATGAAAGTGTCGGAATTCATTTGCAAAATTTATTTTTAGCGTGATATGATAAGTATCAGTTCATTGAATCAACAAAAAATCAAAACGGCCATTCACTTATCACCAATATTGATCAGCCGAAGATATAAGGATTTTTTTCCGGTGGGATTTTATGCCTTGGTGTTACACTAGGCACGCCCAAACTTTCGCCGTATTTGTTCCCATACCATACTGAATATTTTAGCAGATAAATACGTAGTATATGACCTGACTCAATTCTTTTAGAATGTAAGTATATGTCGAATTTACGGTTTGTGATAATGAAAAGTAAAGAAATTACTTAGTAAAGAAAAACTCAACGAATGAAAAACAGATTACTGTGAGGGTTAAGTAATCGAATTGAATAATTGTGTAACGAAATGAGTTTACCCAGGAGCTCGATTCCTTCGCTAATTGGCTTGAAGACGCGATAATAAACTGAACCATTGTATTGGAAAGCAATCAGATTTTGTTCGTTCTCAACTAAACATTCAACGTCGTTTAGAATCAATAAAGACATTCTCAATTATTTTAAAATCAGTCAAAGTTTTGCCAGATCAGTACCTTCAATGTTAGAACAAACAAAAATTCTTAGATGGATGAACAAGCTAGAAGGTAATTTTAATAAGCATAAGAAGAATTGTACAAATTTTTTCAAACAGTTTAGTTGAAGGGAGAGAAATATGAGTAATGTGTTTACCTGATGAATATTCAATTTCTAACAAAAACGAAGTTTTTCTCTGTGCCAATCTCGCTATTTTAGCAAACAGAATTATCACAGAGAGCTAAAAGACAGGAAGCAAAGAATTAATCGTTGCTTACATCTCGAACTATTTATGTAACGCATCCAGTTGGAATACCTTGGATCACTACCATCAATATACTGTGATGGTTTCCCACTTATACGGATTTCCCAAGAATAACCGTTCTGATCAGCTTTCTTCGGATCAGACAATAATATTCCTGAAACTATTGAGCTTCAAAATGAACTCAAGTCGTTGTTTTTTCTTATATGGAAATTAAGCTACCTTGATATGGGCCAAATACCAATCCTATCGGTATATCCATCTTTGCAAAAACACCCAATCCTGCTTTTGGAATTTTGGAAGTTTTAATTTCAAAAAAAGCGGGTAAGGTTTGCTCTGCTCTTGGCTTACTGTCTTCACGTACCTGAAATAATGATAATAGCAGAAACACAACACTGACACAACCTTCGTCAGTTTTTTTCACAGATCAAATTAGTTTGAAAACTAGAATTTGAAGCATATTGCATGCATTCATAAAAAATTATTGAATATCACGCTTATCATACCATATGATTCGTGAACAAATAAAATGTAAAAGAATACAGCCTACTTCCCTATCACTAACAATAAATAGTGGATGCAGTCGACATGATGCTCGATAATAAACTCCGCAAAGATCACAATCTGAAAATCATTCCATTAAATTAAATGAACATTTTCTTTTGTATACAGGAAAAAAAACCACAAACATACGTATATAATCGTCATCCTCTAATTCTGATTCTGCCAAAACAATGCCAAAAGTTTTCAACTGCTTTTCTGAAAAGGCAAAGCAGTAACTGATGATCGACTAAGATCAAGAACCTTGAAATTTTAGATATGCATCAGATTGACAAAGATATGATGGGCTCAGTTATTATTCAATTATGTTTAACATTTTTACCCGCCAATTATAATTTTTAAGTCATCCAAAAAGATGTCTACAGTAACATACAAGCAAACGATGTATGAGGAAATAATACTTTTATGTCTATACTATATGACTATCTGTGCATGTGTGCGTCTTACGAAACCAAATAGTCTGAAAACTTGAAGAAATAAAGTGCATGGCACGCATCCGAAGATATCACTGAATACCTCGCTAACACGCCGATAAAAGCATGAAGTCTATATTGATCAATTATTACCTGATAATTTCTGCAGCAAACAATACTTTGGATTGTTGCAATCACCATTCATCAATTTCACCATCCGTTCTACAGCATCAACAACAAGACACATCTTAAAAAAACTTGTAGAAGACACAATTTCTGATGCTGCATTTCAAAGTACAACGCCCCATCAATCACCGAATAATCGTCTTCATCAGAAAGTATCATGTGCGTAGCCATACACGTGCGTGAAATAAATGAAAATCATAAAATTCTAGCGTAGCAACCAGACAGATAGTGAAGAGAAAGTGAAATAAAATATTAAAAACAGAAGTTAGTTAAAGTAAGAAATGAAATAAATACGAATAGAAATAAAAGAAAGCAACACAATAAGAAGCTTTTTATTTCATTAATTCATATTCTCGACAATGAGGAACCCTTTGACCTCTTTAAAACAGCAATGGATCGGTGGTACCCTTAAATCTATTCCTTATATCATAAGTACAGGAATTAACACAACCAAAAGCTATTGAATCCTTTACGTATCTTTTCAAATACTCTGTAAATACAAATCAGTAATGAAAAAAAAATGGTTTGATATTATGTTAGGATAATGTTACTGCTTGGGCAAAGCAAGCACTACTTTGAAGTATTCATTCCTAATTTACCCGAAGTTCTACAAAAAAAAAAAAGTTTTATTGCCGTAATAACGACATATAAATCGGGTTGTTAATTGATAAAAAATAAATCTATAGATTTACTGTCAAGAATAATGTAAAAATGCAGGTAAATCTAGAGGTTAAGTGTTTAGAGTAATTTAATGAGAAGCCACTACCAACTGGGTGGAAATTCGCTTCAACGGTATAAAGCATGTAAAAAGACGCTTTTTTTACGGAAATTTTAAACTTAAATTTTGTTAAAAAGGTCATTAAAAGAGAAAATGGTCAAAGCAGGAAAACGCATACCTTCTCTTGAGCAGGACTGCAACTCCGATACTCCAAGCCATCATCTATTGAGCTACTCATATATCACTCTCTGTAATACTTACAAATAGTTAACAATAGTTTTAGTCTATATTCCATGCAATTTGAAAACATAAACAATTCGATAAGTGTAATCTTTATCGAGAAAGGTAGGAAGAACAAGGCAGAATATGAAATGATGGTTTGCTGACTTCGTTAGATATATTCAGATATATTCAATATTCAGATATATTTATATTCAGATATATTTAGATATATTCAAGTTTAAGAATTAGAATTTTATTCCAAAATTCTTAAACTGCACCTGAACTGTAGGAGAGAGCAACACATTTACTTTCTCATATCAGTTTGTACAGTGCAAGTTTTCGGACAGGAGAAAAAAGAGCATTGAATTATTTCTACCAACCTATTCTTATCTCACTTGACCTATCAGCCTATTCTGACCTGCCTTGACCTAGTGACCTGTCATAACTGTAGAAGAATTTCACTTACCCGTGGACTCCAAAATCAGAACAAAGATGGAGTAATTGAAAACAAAGGCACACGATTTAACATTTCTTTTATCTATCCGTGGACTCCGCCCTCTGTGGCGAAGTTTTCCTCAGGTTCCGGAAACAGGAAGTCGGAAGAGGTGGAAAGATGAAGTTGTCGCCGGTCCGTTTGAGCTTGGAATTTGGAAAACTGGGAAAGGTAAGTTGTCTCTCTTCCTTTTTCTCTCATTCTCTCTCTTCCTTCTATACTATCAAATACGTGATTCCATGTACAATTTTCTCTTTAAACTTATTTTTCTCTTACCCACCTTCCCACTTACCCGCATATTCATCTATTGATCCACTTTCTTTACTTACAGCTCATGTTCACCTGCCTATTTACCTGTATTTTCATTTATCAACTATATTATTTCAGATTTATGGACAATACAAATTTACCTTGGCTCCGAATGAGCAAAGAGTATTCAAAGGATTTTGGAAAGATGCCATTTTAAAGGTATGCTTTTCTGATGTCTTGTTGAAATGTTAAAAGATCCATGTCCCTTATCAACCATTGATTATCATTGGTTGATAATTATTCACTCTTATTATTTTTCCATTTCATCTGCATCATTCTTGACCATTAGCTGGGAAGAGAGTGAAGAATGAACAGTGATAAGCGAAATAAGGGCAAGGAATTATAATCTGATCATCGGTAAACGAAATAAAGTAGTGGTAAACAAGTTTACTATGGTTTCTGGTTCTCTGCATATTCCTAATATTCTCACGATCCTGTTGAATGATATGGTCAAGTGTCACATTAAATTTAATGATAAATATTTTGTAGTCATGTTCCGCAAACATTTTGCAATGAATGATGGTTATAGGTATTAAGAAACACTTGGTTCGATCGTTGGTATCTCTGGTTACCTCAGGGTGTAGTATTCTACTTCATGACAAACTTGTGCGTGAAGATGAACTATGAAGCTTACCGGAAGAAACCGGAAGATTTCATCAGTGAAGGAGTATCGAAAGATGCGAAGTAGTCATCGATAAGATATGTAGTTTAAAATTTCCATGATTTATTCAATATATTAACATTACTGTATTTTGTAATACAAACTTTGTAAGACAAAATTAATAATAGTTTTTGTTTTGTACAGTTATAAAATAGATTGGAGTTTTAAGTGCTTGATCATACAGTGCAAAGTAGGTCGGAATGCTGATCACTCAATATAAATAATCCACTGAACTTTATTTGAAGACAGTCATTAAACTTAGAGAAGTTTGTAAATTCTGTGAAATTTTTTATTGCTGTTTATACCACGTATAAGATAAGCTTTGTGTTGTTTCATTGCTTTTTGGAAAATGATGCATTTCTGCCATGGGAACTTTTGAAATGTCTCAGCGGGATAGGCCAGTGCGAATTTGCTATGATTTTTGATTTACAATTTACTTACACCTTTGTTCCTTAGCATTTTCAGTATTAATTGGTGCTTAAATTTCATTGGTAACTTGGAGGATGGAATCAACTCTATTCTTCGGGTTTATACATTTTATTTGATAGGAGTAGGAAGCTAAAATACAATGGATAGCGTAAATATATGCATCCTTTATTGCTGATAGAATCATGAAATTAATAATATAAAACTTTAATATAAAACTGAGTAAATAAGTGACAATATGTGTTTTTTTTCCCACCAGTATGGCTAAATATCTCCTGAAAAACTTGTGTGAAAAGGGTGATATTTTTAAGTTTGGTTTCCGCATACCTCCGGAAAGCTTAATCTGTTCATACGCTGATAGCGGTATAATAAACAGATCGTCCACATTGGGATATTTTTTTGATCAGACCCAACATCTCCATATAACCTAGTGCTGAATGATATGACAGACTGTTGCCATATCATTCAGCACTAGCTTATATGGAAAATTTTGATATTGACCACAGTATAATGTTTCGAATAAAGGACCAATCCAAAATTATGAGTCAAGTCGGAATAACTGATATTTCCGTTTTTTTTCAGTTTGATTATAAAAATGATTAAAAAAGTGGAATTCTAATGGTTCAAATCAAGCAATAATATCCGTTTTTAATTTCCAAGCCTTTTTTAATTCCCAAAAGTGGTTAATATCACTGTAATCTCCTTAATCTATTTGAAGATCCGTCCAAACAAGCCTTCATATTGTGTACACAGCTCACTTTCTTTTATAATTTATCAGAATTTTTACCACTTCACTATCAAATTTTTATCACTGAATGCGCTGTTTGCAAATATAAACGCGACCGTGACACATTGTTTGCGTTTATCAACCATCATTCAGCAACAAAAAATTGCTGTACACCCCTTATAAAGCAAACCTGTGAAATGCCCCGAAATATTTATCAAAATCAGACATAGAATAAGCAAATGGCTAATTCATGATTGCAAAAATATCACAACAGAAAAAGTAGCAATGAAGTAAATGTGTGCATTACAGATGTAACGTTATTACAGGAAATTATGTCATGATATAAATTTTTAAAAATGCCGAAAAGTTTTTTTCCTTTTTTAAATGTTATACAAATTTTAAATGGCTCGTTAAAGTTATGATCACATTGATAATAGCATGAAAAATAAATTGCTTTACTTACAAACGGGAAGAGATAGATCGACAGCAAACTAATAATCGATTTCAAATTATGCTAGCAATATAAGCTTTGAGTATTACATAAGATTAAATCTTCACAATCTTCAATAAATTGCCGTCCTAAAATAACTGATAGAAGGCCAAATATCAATTCATATAAAATGGAAATCACATAGTATTACCATTTCATATTTTTCCGATACTTATTATTTTCTATAAATTCATCTGCTACATGTGCTTTTGTTCAACTCTCGATTTCATCATACAATATGCGTATAATTCTTTTGTTATACGTTCTTGAATTATTTGTTGTCGATTTCATCCCGTTTAAACTACGCAAAAAAAGCACGTAAACTGACGTAAAACGTCGCGTCAAATAAACCCATCAAATGCTTCGCTTCGCAAACAACGGTAAGAGGAGACGCGCAGCGTTATCAATTAGTAGCACCGCCCATACCGCTTAGATGTCGCTAGCTGATTGGTTGAATGCTGACGTGGACCAGTAAGCGTGCAGTCTTCAAACTAACAGTCTGGCCTATGAATGGATGGTTTTAGAGGAGTTGAATGCTCAGTGGCTGTTCATTTTGACTAACGCGTGGTACCTCTTCATTGCAAGTTTTTAAGCTCCATTACTTTCTTCTTGTTATTCGAGACTGTGCTCCTTTTCTCGAGTCTTTCTAGGTTGTAATTTTCTAAACTGTACTACTCTTTATTTTTTGTTTTTCAAGGCTGCACTACTACTTAGCTTTTGTTTTTCCAAACTACAGTACATCTTGCCTGTCAGTCGTTTTAGATCCTAGTACTTATCTCCGATCATATGTTTCAAATTGTTTTACTTTTCTCCTGTAAGTTCTTCCCACTAATATTATTTATACCGTCAGCTGAGGTCCTCTGATGAGAATAGGCCTTTGATGAGTAATAGAGAAAGATTCAGTCAAGCTTTGACATCTCTATGAATCTCGTCTTTTTTTAATAATTTGTTATCCAATATGAGAAATAGACTGAGGAAAAATATGAAGTGAAAATTAACAGAAACGTTTTTTTTTTCTTTTTTAGAGATTATTTGGAATGTATTAATGCACTATATTCAAAACAGTTCATGTCATTTTACAGCATTCACCGGTTAAATTAACGGCGAATTTTGGAATGAAAAACTTGCTGGAACGATTGTCATTTTATGTAAATTAGGGGGGCTTTTCAATCATATATTTGTAACTGAGATTTCTCGTCATATTTGCATATTTATTTCAGGAATGCAACTATATTTGCTGTTAGGACTTGTTTGCTTCTCAGCAATCAGCGCTAAAATATATTTCAAGGAAGAGTTTTTGGGTAAGTTTATGTATTCTTCAAAGAAAAGACAAGGCGCGATAATTTCTGTTTTCTTCTTTTTATGAGCTAAATTTGTTGAACGATGGGAACAAAAAAACTAAAAAGTTTGATTATAATTGAGAAATACTACAAACATTCAGCTGTTGATCTCAACTTGCAATTGGCTGCTTAATTTTCCTCTGTGTGGAATTGATGTAGGTATAAGAAATATGTGTTGCGGATATTTTTATTAAGAACATTTGATGTCATTAAATCTAACTTCTGTTAAAATGGAATACTTTTTTTTTTAATTTGCAGATGATGAGTGGGAAAAAAGATGGGTAAAGTCGAAACATAAGGATGATTTCGGCAAATGGGAAATATCGCATGGTAAATTTTACGGTGATGCTGTGAAAGATAAAGGCCTCAAGACAGCACAGGTTATTTTTGGTATATAATTATTGGGATCGTTCTTAACAAAATATTACTATACGCTTCAATTGCAAGCATTTGTTAAAATCGTGTGGTGTTTTAATAGTGAATCTCTCCTATTTTTATTGCAGGATGCGAAATTTTATTCAATCGCTGCTGCATTTGACAAGGGTTTTTCAAACAAGGGTAAATCGCTGGTTGTCCAATTTAGTGTTAAGCATGAACAAGATATCGACTGTGGTGGTGGTTACATTAAGGTAAAACTTATTTTACGAAGCACTTTCTGCATATAAAATTGTGGATTTACAAATTGTGGATTTACAATTGTGGATTGAACGACTTAAGTTACTCGTTTGAGACCACTTATAGGACGGTTTTTTGTGCGTTCTTTTTGTAATAAATGGTTTTTTTCATTTATTACAAAAAACAAAAAAAAAACAAAAAGAACGCACAAATCGGGCGGTATGAAGTTCATTAAATATATAATTTTTTCCAAACGGTGATGACATCATTTGGTGTTATATCGTGCGGAAACACTTTTTATTGAACTCAAAAATTTTTTAATATTTTAATTTATTACATTGAGCCACATTGACGATATTGATGATATTTGAAAGAATATGGGTTTCTACTTATTTTATAATTTTATTTTTTAGCTGATGGCATCAGATGCAAATCTAGAAGACTTCCATGGCGAAACTCCTTATCATATTATGTTTGGTCCTGATATTTGCGGTCCTGGAACAAAAAAAGTCCATGTTATATTCCATTACAAGGGCAGGAATCATATGATCAAGAAGGACATCCGGTGCAAGGTTTTGTTTTGTAGTAAAAGTTTTTGTCTTTGATATATCTGTGCTTTTCATGGAGTTATCGGTAGTTCAATGTATATCGATGTCCAGTCGAGAAGCTATATTAATGCTTCTCGCGTATCTACCCGTTCATTTTCATTATTTGTTCGGGTTCGTCCGAGATAAACATGTAATCTCATTACAACTCTCCTCTGAATGTGTTTGCCGTGTCATTTGTTTATTTCTGCAGGATGATGTCTTCACGCATCTTTATACATTAATTGTAAATTCTGATAATACCTATGAAGTGCAAATTGATGGTGAGAAAGTTGAATCTGGAGAACTGGAAGCAGACTGGGACTTTCTTCCTCCGAAGAAAATTAAGGTTATCTTTCTCAATGCTGTTTATTTAAATGAAAAAAATTGTGAAGACAACTTACACTCTTTCCAAAAATGGTCCAACTATTGTTTTATTATTTAAATTATGAGTGGTAAAATGGGATTGTTCAGGATCCAGACGCAAAGAAACCAGAAGATTGGGATGAAATGGAATACATTGATGATGAGGATGACAAGAAACCCGAAGACTGGGACAAACCGGAACACATTCCTGATCCTGATGCAAAGAAACCAGAAGACTGGGATGATGAGATGGACGGAGAATGGGAGCCACCGATGGTTGATAATCCAGAATATAAAGGAGAATGGAAGCCGAAGCAGAAGAAAAATCCTGCATATAAGGTGAATCTGAAGTAAACTCTGCTTTATAAGCGTTATCATTATATAGCATAATTATTTCAATATCGATACGTTTTTCATTTTTGAGTTTATTGTATATATTTTTTAGGGCAAATGGATTCATCCAGAAATCGATAATCCAGAATACACTCCAGATGATAATTTGTACCTTTATGAAGATATTGGAGCAATTGGCTTTGATTTGTGGCAAGTAAAATCAGGGACCATTTTCGATGACATTATTGTGACAGACAGTGTGGAGGAGGCCAAGGTATGGTTTCGTAGTCATAATGATGTCAGCTTTTTATTTCGCTTTTCTTGGGATGACGGTGAAAACAGTGCTATAAGTTTAACGAATACTTGTGCTTATGCATTGTTCATGTTGTCGGTATAAGCACTAACTCTACTAGGGTGTGATAGTTAAAAGAAGGTCATCACCTTTCGAGGATTGAATTAATTGGTCTTTTATTATTATTTGTTTTAATTGAATCATTTACAGAAGTTTGGTGAAAAGACCCTGAAGAAAACCAGGGAGGGTGAGAAGAAAATGAAAGAAAAACAAGATGAGGAGGAAGAGAAGAAGAGGAAGGAAGAAGAAGAGAAGAAAGAAGAAGAAGAGAAGAAAGAAGAAAAGGAGGAAGAAGAAGAAATGGGAGAAGGCGAAAAGAAAAAGGTAGGTCTATATTGTGTTTGTATTCTTTTTTCTTTATGTATCAAATCTACATAATAAACAGTTACTTTTATTCAAAATTTTCAGGATGGCGAAGAACACGAAGAATTGTAATATGTGCTGAAATGATTTTATTGATGCACTAACTGCCATTTTGGTTTGCTTGCTATCCGGCATTGTTACTTTTTACCGCTAGGATCTCCTTGGGAAATTTCAACGGAAATTTTATTTGGAAAGGATTTTAATTCTGCAGAAGTGGTATAGAAAACGATAGAAGTTCTGGTGTTGGGGATACTGTTATGCTTAATTTATTCGTTTCAATATTAATATTTCTTATAATTTGTTGATGCATTATCCTCATTTCTCTCCCTCTTATTTCGCTTTTTGATTTTGTTTTTATTTGTTCATATCAGGAATAAATATTTTTATTGTTGTAAAAAATGTATGAATGCCGAACAGATATGATTCTTACTGACCACTAAATTGAACTTTTACTAGAATTATTAATCAATTTACCAAATAAATGATTCACCAATTTCATTTTACCAATTTACCAATTATTCGAGTAATTGTTGCAGAATTAGTGAGTTTTAACTTTTTAGCGAATTTTCTTATTTCTTATTTCCACTATTAGTAGTCATTCTTGAAACCATTGGTAAAGTGATAAAAAAGTAATAGGCGAGATAAGCATCCCGAGGGAGAGATTCGATTACGGTTCGAACTGATTAATGAATAATAGGTTCTTACCATGAGGGGAAATAAAATTTATGTGGAACTAAGTTAAACAGGTTCCCACCTTATTCTTATTTCTGTAGACTTCAACGGAATCCTTCCATCGAACTGGAAATTCGAAGGATGTTCCCTGGAATGCTTTATTTTGATTTAGGAATTGATGTGCAGAACGTAGACCGTATATATATTTTACGAGCTGCCAACTCTAATTTTAATACAGCTACCGATTTGGATGAATGAGGGGATTTGAGAGAGAAATATCGTTCGGTTTATTGACTTAAGAACAGCTGGAATGAATATCGTTAAAGCTCAAGATCGACATATCAGTCCATGATTAGCGTTTAGGTGACATGGATTAGTGGAAGGCGGAGATATTTGATGAGCTCAGCAAACGATGATTTGTGCTTATTCCGGAATGGCTAGGATTTAAACAACAGTAAGCGAATCAAATTTCAAATTATGATCCATCCTTCTCTATTATCTCTTGTGTTTTTGTGCATCAGCAGCTATGCTAATAGCAATATCTATTTTCAGGAACAATTTAAAGGTTCCAGTTAATTTTCCTATCACTTCGTAGAACTTTTCTCAGCTTCTTACTGAAATAACTAGCCAAACCTAACAATTTGAGAAATCATTTGATCGGATTTCTTTTGAATTCTTAATAGCAAAAACTTCAACATGTCTAACAAAAGATTTAAAGCAATTTCATAAGAAAATAAAAATTAATAATAATTAATGAAAATTACTGCAAAATATTTCAATTGGCAGTTGTTTTACTATCAAAATTTTTTTGAAACTTGGGAAATCTCTGTGTTATAATTATTATAGAAATAAATTGGCAAATTAGTGGAAAGTAAACAGAGACTTTTTTAGATGGTCAGTCTAGCTCATAAAGCAAGCCATGTAATAAAATAAGGGAAGTAAAGGTTTGTGTACATTGAAAGAACCAATTTCGATGGCACCTTTCTGATGATTGAATTATGGTTTTCGATCAAATACTAGCTTTACTTCTTTACTTGCCTTTGAATAAAGTTTGACATTAGGCTGAATTAGCGTTCAATTGCTGCATTTATTTAATTCTACATTATATATTTTTTTATTTTTTAACATAAACTCTTAATTCTTCATTGTTCGAATATGAACGGATGGTTTTTAGACGGAGATGGTTGGAAAAAGCGATGGGTGCTATCTGAACATCGAAACGATTATGGAAAATTCAACCTTTCCTACGGTCAATTCTTCAATGATCCAGATGAGGATCTTGGACTCACTACAACCGAGGTATTCTGTTATCATTTTAAATACTACTATTACTAATAATATATATGTACTGCAGTATCAATTTTTCCACTTCAAATGTTTTAAATAAAAAAACTTCAGATGTTTTAATCAGTTATATAGTATTTCAGGATATGAAAAATTATGCTATTTCGGCAAAATTTCCAAAATTTTCAAATAAAGACAAAATATTGATTATTCAGTATGCAACAAAACGATTTACTTTACTTGATGATGATTGCGGTGGCCTATACATAAAGGTACAGTAACTTTATTTTCATACTTTGATATTCCCATAAAAGAGTAATGTTGGATATTTTCGAATTTAGTACTAAAATGTTATTCATATTTTCAAAATCTTTGCATAAAAATCCTCACTACAAACATAACAGACTATAAAAAATTTCGATTTCATATAGCCATCTTTTTAAAAGGAAAAATATGTAATGAAATAAGCTGAGTAAATAAGAGATAGCTTAAAATGCTATATAGGATATCTAGCATTCTAAAAAATAATCGCAACAGCATATGAAATCGGATTGTTTAATTTAAAATAATTTCAATTGTTTAATTTAAAATGGAACTGTAGGTATATGTATGTGTAATGTATAGGGATAAGAAGCAAATAAGTAAAACATCAAAAGAACAGTGGAATAATAAACAAGGAAGATTAAGGGCTTGCATACAAAAATTAAAAAGAATATCATTGTGGAGAACGTAATCTCAGTATTAGTTTGAAATTTTTAGTGATATAATACTTAGACACACAATAATGGAAATATAACATTTACTACTACTGTAAAAAAAATTCTGCAAAATTTCATTAAGACATTTTTCTTTCATAGAATGAATTTATTCAAATTCAGCTCATGAAATCGGATTTGGATCAGAAGCAGTTTAATAGTGAAACTCCGTATGAGATTATGTTTGGACCAGATATATGCGGTATATATTCGAGAAAAATTCATGCTATATTTCGTTACAATAATTCCTATTATCACTGCAATTCTTTTTTGCCTATCATTGTAATTATTTTCACTTCAATTTTCACTGTTAAGCAAAAGTTTTTAATTAATTATATTATTTGAATTTTCGTTTTAAAAAAAGCCTAGTAAAATCAACTGGAAATAATAGATAGTTATCATTCAGATAAAAATTCCAAAATTTGTACTTCGATTTTGATCTTCCTGAATAACATTCCTATAATCATGAAATTTTGGGACAGAATTAGAATTTGAAATACAAAAAGTTGTGATTTCATGGTGTAGCAACAACAGGCTAGGATAGGAACATGTTTAATGTTAGTATAACATTTAATTTAGAATGATGAATTATCCCATGTCTATACTTTGATTTTATATCCGAATAATACCATTAAAATACTTGCCGATTATGAGGAACGAATTGCTGGTGACTTAGAAGATCATTATGATTTTCTTAAGCCACGAAAAATTATGGTTAGTATCTCTCTTTTTTAAATTAACTGTTAGAATTTATCAGACAAAAATATATATGCACAATTAACGATTGTTAAATGTATTATCAAACTATATCATTTCTCATACAATTTTATGATACACTTTGTGTACAATTTTTTTTTCTTTTAATGCAGTTTAACAACTTTTGCTTTTGTTTTTATTTATATTTTATTGAATATGACACTGAAAAAAAATTATAATTTTAGGATCCAAATGTGGATAAACCAGCTGACTGGGTTGATGAAGAATTTATATCTGATCCAAATGACAAAAAACCAGATGACTGGGACCAACCAGAATTTATATTGAATTTAAATGTTACGAAACCAGACGACTGGGATGAGGAATGGGATGGTGAATGGGAACCACCAGGAATGGTAAATCCGGATTTTAAGGGTGAATGGGTTCCAAAAGAGATTCCAAATCCAGCATATAAGGTTGATTTTTGAAATTTGATTGAATTCACCTTTCAGATATTTGTTTGCATGTTTTCGCTGACAGCTGTATGAAATTAATACAACTACTATTAAAATTATTTGATCCGGATTTTAGATCTAAGAATCAAAGGAATGGAAATTTAGGGAGAATGGATACATCCTGAAATCGATAATCCAAATTATATACCAGATCCGAATCTTTATCTGTACAATGATATCGGTGTAATTGGAATCGAGATATGGCAAATGAACAGCAGCACAATATATGACAATATTATTATAACCGATTCTATTGAAGAAGCTAAGGTAATGTTTAAAAGAAGTAAAATTAAAAAAAAAATACTGACAAGATGCTATACATTTTTTGAATTATTTCATGAAAATCACTGAGGAGATATTATCTATTCAGTTCATAATGTTTTCATAATAAAATTTTATAAAATTCAAAGGAAAAATATCTCTCTATCAGTGTTATCTCTCATATCTATGTATTTCTGACGAAATTTGTATAGTCGGACATTCATCATCGTACTTCAGAAATTTGCTGCTCTTACATTGAACGGTACAAGAAAAGGTGAGGAAAAAATGAAAAAGGAATTTGATGAAAAGCTCCAGCTCGAGGAAAATGAGAAAAAAAAGGAAAAGGGAAAGGAAAAGAAAGAGGAAGAAAATTCAAGTGAGGAAGAGGAGAAAAAAGAAGAGACTAATTTAAACCAAAAAGAAGAAAGAAAGAAAAGTAAGCCTGACATTATTCAGAGTGGAGAGTTAAAAAATGATGAAGAAAACGAAGTGAAAAAGGATAAGGAAGAAATGAAGCCGAACAGGGATACAGATGAAAAGAAAAAGTGGAAAGATGATGTAAGTTTATCTCAGAGAAGAAATTTGTATAGAATCCTCATTGACAGTTAGTTGTTCCCTGATTACAGATACATGTACTTTTGATTTGCTCTTCGGAATGCTAGAAAGAAATGCGACAGAATTATTGGCTCAAAATAATAGAGTGAAAATTTTTGGCTAAATTTTGTGTTATTTCAGTCAAGAGAAAAACTGAAAAAAGAAGAACTGTAAATGACGAACATGCTATATTGATTGGTGCGCAAATATATGAAATTTGGAATAGTTTTTCGCAAGACGACTTCTATCTGTTGTATATTTAAGAAAACAAAGTATTATTTTATTGTTAATTTGTTGTTAAATTTGTGGAAATAAATTAGTACGTCAATTTATTATTAAAATTAACAGCTATAATTCGAAATTCAATGCCAAAAAATATGCCGATATCATTCAGCAATAAGTTGCAATTACATCGTGTAGGCCGGCAATAAAAGTATTACTCAATCGATCATCATAACATTTTATCATCTATGTGTAAGCTACATTCTATTATGCATATTTTCATGATCAAAGATAACCCGTTTTTCTCTCAATCTTCCAGAAATTATATAAAACCAATAATCAATTCTGATTTACTTTAGCAAGTTACTCATTCATTTATTTGCCTCTATTATTTACTTGCACTCAGAAGAATCATTAAAATGTTTACATTCAATTATATATAATCAATGCTTGAACAAATGAGCCGATTGATTGTGTTTGCGATATGAAGATTAATGATTACCATGTTATATATCATTAAAATAGGTTGAGCAAATCAGTAGTCAATAAAATATGAAAATTTTTTCTTTTTTTTTTTCAAACTTATCGAACTATTAATTAGGAAGTGTTTATGGAGATCTTGTACTAACACAATATGTGTTATTTTGAAATGTTCACTGTAATCTAAATGATCTAATAGAAGAAATATTACAATAAAGATACATGCAAACGTGCATGTTGAT